CAGCCGATGTCGCCAGTTGCCAGTTGCCAGTTAGCAGTTAGCAGTTAGCAGTTTCCAATGGCCAGTTGGCCACGAATAAATCTTAGTCATCAACAGACTGGCCAAGATCAGCAGCGGCAAATGCCAGAATCAAGTTGCCTGTGTTGCCAGTGACACTTGCAGCAGCGGAACCACGACGAGACGGCCAGGCCAGGCTGGGCAAGTAAAACTTGCAGAGAGCTAGCTGAATTGATTTATGGCGCAAATTTTATTGTCTGGCCAGGGAACTGGAACTCCTGACCAGTTGTTGTTGTTGTTGGCTCTTAACTTGTTAGCCACTACTAACTGTAAAGCCTCGAAAGTGCCTCAGTGTTGGTGAATCGTGCGCGTGTCATGTGACATTGACTCTTTAGCCGGGTGAAGTTCTGCCCAGACATCTATATATATAGTATATAGTATATAGTATATCCACGCCAACCGTGTGTACAACTTTGTGTATAAATTATATTATAAAACTGAAACATAAATTTCAACTTAACGCAACTATAACAACTTTCGCTCTGGACCGCAAAAAGAGAAGCCCGACAAACTTTGCCAAGCATTTGTTGGGTCAACAACAAGTAAGTTTTAAGCGACACGTTTATTTCTGGCAAATTGTTAAGTAAACAAAATGTTTTTGGTTTTCTAACTTTTTTCAAATCATTTATGTTGAATAGAAACTTTCGAAGAACAATTAGAATATATTTAGTATTTTTATCTTCTTTTCACTAGAAACTAGAAACAAGTTACTGCTACTTAGTTACCTGAAACTTAAATTTATAAATTATATTTCTCTAAAAAAGAAAACCAGAATCAACCTCTATAACCACATAATTAATAAAAAATGTAATCTAATGTCCGCTAATAAGTGTAATATTTGCATATCTGAAATGGCAAAATAAAAGTGTCTGCCCCACAGTTTTATGTGAATGGTGAAAAAAAAAAAATCCATTTCCATTTTAATTGGATTTATATTAATTTATTCGAGATTGCATTTATGGTTCATGAGTGCTGCTTAATTGAATATAGAATAGCATTAAATTGACAATAAATATGATTTGCCATTCACAAATATCAATTTACACTCGCCCATGACGGGAAAGGCGCTTAAAATATCTCTGCAACATAACATAAATCCCCACAATTTCCTCATCATTTCTTAATGGGGAAAACACAGAGCAATCGAGTTGAATATCTGCACCTGTATGCCATTAAATAAATAATGAAAAGACAGCAACAAAAATCGAAACCGTCGAAATCAGTGGCATTTTTAACGCTTCCACTAACTGAACAGCCGTGAATCCAATCTCACTTTACGATGTCTCTGTATCTTTTTACTTTCGGCCAACTCCACTCTCACGACTATCGAATTAAAATTTCCTCGGCCACTGCCTCAATATTGATATTTCATCAGCAGCTCGAAGAGTTTATTTTAAATATATATGTACGTACGGAAATCTGTAGATATATATATATATATATATTTGTATATATATGCACACTGTACACAGGCCAAAGTGAAGTGAAGTTGGTAAAGCGCATTACGGTTTTAAGCTGGCAGCCGCTTATCAAGGACCACTTAAACAACCGCCGACCCACTGCGAGAATTTCGCATTCACATTCACATTTACATCCACGTCATTCAGCATCCTCCTTCTTTGCTACGTTTCTCGGTTATTGTCAGTGCCTGCACTGAGAGAAAATATGCAAATTTATATCAGCTTTTTATTCATTAAATCAGCTTTTACTATCTTTTTGATCTTATTACTGTCAAGCCTACTTAAAATGTAAAACTATAAAATTTCTGTTAAGTAGAAGCCCCCTTTAAGCATTAATTTCTTTACGTGCACCTGCGGTTGACTTGGGCGGAAAAAAGAGGGCGGGGATTGTGGAGCGCACTGAAGTGCAGATTGGCAGCTTCATCGCTGTTGATTCAGAACTGGACTGACGGGAACCCGAAAGCCCACTCCCAGTCTCATCATTAAAAACAACCGAAAATGAGAAGAAAACGAAATATTTCGTACACAAAAAGCAACAACAACGACGGCAGCGGCCAAAAAACCAACCCAAATAATAGCAAGTGAAATGTGTATTTTCATACCTATATATATATGTATATAGAGGGGGGTAAAAATAAGGCTTACACGTGTCTGGGCGTTGCTGCCTCACATGTATCTGTATCTGCATCTTTGGCCGCCGATACATGCGGGGATACATGTGGCCAAAGGTGACCCAAATTAAGAAACTCATGTAGGAGAAGCACAAAATTAATTGAAACTTTCCAAAAACTTGAAAATAACATCATTATTTTAAATATTAACTGCCCAGACTTTACCTTAATTAAAAAAAAAAAAAAACCTTTGCCTAATTAGTTCAGCTTATCCTGCATAACTTTTGCCTGCCAAATCCTTGTTTTTTCGGCTTAAAACTTTAACCATTAGTGGCAAATACTTTGCTGTCCTTATTTTTAAATCTTTCTTTACCAACTTTAAGTCCCACCACCACCACCCACTGTGTTGAAACCCTTACCACCCCCCTTAAACGAAAACCCAGACAATCCTTTCTTTTTCTGTCTGCACTTTTTGCCTCGCTTCATCAGCACATTCTTTATCCTTTCCTTTGCTCTCGTACCTTTTGCTTTGTGCTGCCACTTCTCCGGACTTGGTTTTTAATTTTCAGCTGATTTTTTGATTAATGCTTAAGCGTTTGCTCCTTTTTCCGGAGGACTCCTTTTATGCAAATCTCCAGGCACTTTAATTAGAAATAAGAAAATGTCTTTTTCGGAGAAGTTCTAAAGGAAAAGGGGGATAGAACGCCATTCACTTCCCAAGTTTTCCTCATTATGCTCTCGCTTTTTGTGTTTGTCATTTATAAATTGGAAAAGTTTCCTTAAGCAAATTATGCCATTTTTTCCCTGTCTCCCCACCAAAACGATGACCAAAGAAGAACCCTTTTGGCCAAGATAAAAAAAGAGGAAAACATTAAGCCCAGATTGCCACAAGAGCTCCCTTTTCGCTCAGCTGACGTTCCTCAAAAACAAACGTCACATGGTCTTGCTTCCTTCTTGATTATTTTTTTACTTAATTTTTTATATATCCTCTCTCATTCAGATTTGTTTTTTTTTAAGATCCCTCATTGAGGTAGGACCAGGGAACAGTCGTCAAAAGGTTCTCAAGGTCCGCTTGTTCAGGTTCCCAAACGAGCTGGTGACGACTTTGCATCCGCCTTGTGCCTCTCCTTTTGCCTTTTCCTCTGGTGGTGCATTCAACTTTATGTCTTTGATTTATAGCTGCCTCGGCTGCCTCTTCCTTTCTCGGGGGATCGGAATCAGAATTGGGATTGGGATCGGGAATCTGAATCTCAATGAAAGCGAAACAATGCCAGGCACAGTTCGGGGGCCCCTTCTGGTTCTCCTTATCCTGTTGTTATCGAGAGTTGACCCTGCCCGTATGTAGGTCTATAGGCTACTACCTCATGGCACTTTCGGTTTTAACCGCTCCTCGAGAGTTCTGTGATTGCTGCTGCTACTACTTCACCCCTTTACGATTCTTTTTTCGTTTTTTTTTTTTTTTTTGTATTTTCCTCTCCGACTGTGATGTAATAAATACCCGCGACTGCGACTGCGACGGCGACGGCGAGATCCCTAAAAACGTTTACCCCCGATCCGCCATCCGTGATCCGTGATGGGTATCTTTGTATCTGCATCTGTCTCTTTGTTCGAAACCGAATGGAACATGTGCTTGTGCCCCTTGTTGGCCATAAATTGCCAGGTTGAGTTGGAGGGAAAATCTGTTGATTAGTGGGAAAAATCGAAGAAACGAAATGCCAAGCGATGAGCAGCGGCAAAGGGAATAGAATTCCTAGCCGTACTTTGTGGTCATCTGGGACCCAGAGATTATGTCATAAAGATAAAAGGCTAACCAACAAGTGTTGCCTTTTGTTACCCAAGGTGTGTGCATCGTAATTAGCCAGGGATTCTTAGGCGAGAGGGCGTGGCACTACTCCACACGGGATGTCTGTCATTGAGGATTATTTGTAAGCGGTTTTACCTGCCTGGCAATAAGAAACTATTAAGGTCTTGTTAGGAAAATCATTACCAGAAGTGGTTATAGATTAATAGAAGCTGCTCTTTGCTAATATTTTTCCCAGATATTTCCCTCAATATATATATAAATTTGAAGACGAATTCACCCCTCCCTTGATAGCCCATTTCTGACATGCATTTTCAGCCATGATAGCCGCGAAAATTGTTCGTTGTTGCATCACCGAAACAAGAACAACACCCACAATTAGCGGCTGAGCAAAAACAATGCAATTGACTGTGAGAAAAAAACCGACTCGAGGCGGGAAAAACTCACTCAACCCGCCGGTGGTTATAGCCCAGGCTAGCTTGCTTTTCCCTTTTTGGCCCCTTTGCGGCAGCTCCGTCATGCGCAAGACTTTTGAGTTTTGAGCCAAGTGTTCTGGGGGCCTTCTGAGTGTTGTGCTGTGTGTTGTGTGGGGCTAAAATGTCACGTTCGATCATTGAAGTTGCCCCGGCCCCCGGGCACCGCCCCTGCGCCGCTCCCTTTGACCTGCCCCCTCCTCTCTGGGGGCCAACTAATGCATATGCCAAAGCGGGCACGTAGGCGCATCAAAAGGAAATGTCAGTCAGGCGACAAGCCCACAAACGGCCAAAGCAACACGGGCAACATTACACTGGGAGAAAATAAGCTAAAATTGAAATATTTTCAAAATATTTTTTAACATTACTTTATTAATATTTAAGTTTGTGGCACAAAAAGCCGTCGGGATTTTGACATGAAATATATCTGAAATGATAAGAAAAATCTCCGCATTTTCTTTCTGTGACGTTCACCAACAACAACAGCTGAGTTTCGGATTCTAGGGTCTGAGTGGTAATCCTTTGGCGAAACACGTGCAAGCCCACATACACACACACACACAGCTACACATACAGGGCAAGCTCACGGATAAGAAAACACACACACACACCGATAGGAATACTACAAACGAGTGTGGTGGATTCTCAGACTTGTGGTGGGCTACAAAGCCACAAAAAGCACACCAGCAACATGTTGACTGCAGCTGCTGCAAAATTGCATTTTGCAAAAACGCACACACACACACACATACAGTGTTGACTTCAAGAAAGAGAGGTCTTTATGGGGTCAGAGGGAGAGGGCGAATATATATGTATGTATTTTTTTTTTTTTTTACTTTCTGCCTACCAAAAGTTGCCGTCGACGCCGACGTTTGCGAATGTGTTGCGCTGCGGTGCGAGTGGCTTTTTTAGCCGCCAGTTGCCAATTGCCGCATTCGCTATTCGGCTTTGAAGCCGCTCGGGTTGCCAAAAGAACAGTTAGCCCAAGCAATTCTCCGGAGAATCGAGAAGAGATTCTCCTGGGAAACGAACTCGTGCCCGCCTCTAACCGTACGTTCTTTTTTAACCCAGTTAAGTTAACTTTATCAGAACTTTTCCTCAACTCGTGTGTTTTTTCCTGTGAAATAAAAAACCAAATTTAGATTTTCGCAAGCATAACCAACAAGCATTTTCCGGCAGTGTACTTGTGTTTGTGCCGTCCAGTGTCTGTGCGATTGCCAATGTTTTTTGCGGCCTCTCAGCTTCGGTTTCTTGGTGAGTTGTGGATTTTTAATTGAAAAACGCTCGAGAGAGAAAAGTTTCCATTAAAATGAATTTTATATGGGTTCTGGGGCGAAAGAGTTTTGCATACCAAATTATGAAAGTTTGTTGGCAAATAAAAATGAAATATAAATGAAAATTCATGAGGAGAATGTTGAGGAAAATCAATTTAAGGAGAACTTTTTTAATCGTCAATATTTGCAGGCCAAAAACTTGCTTGTGATTGTACATTTTCCAGAACTTAACTACTTTTAAAAATAGATAAAGTATTAATTTCTTTAATTTTCCTTAATTGGAGATGCATTTTCTTTCCATCTCATACGCTCCCAAGCCAACCAACTAGAATCACAATTTACCTGCAGGAAAAACAAAAAGGGAGGAGCACGAAAAACACACTCCTAGCAGATGTCAAGCAATGAAGTTCTTCCGGCTGCCTCTTATTTTTACAAAAAGAAAAAAGTAAGACTTGGCTCCAGTCAGTCACATACTGGCTTACGAACTATAATCGCCAGTTTCCTTTTGGCCAAGTCAAGACGAGGCTTCCTGCACGACAGCTAAAAGTGCAATACAGAGAGAGAAAATATAAAGTCTTTGCCTTAAAGTAGTTAGGTTGTGTATTCAGATATAATATCACTTAAAAATCATATCTAGGGTAAGAATTAAAAATGAAATTATTAAAATTCCCAACTTGATAAGAAGGTATGCCCTACCAATAACCACTTTTCACTGTGCAACATCCACAGTTCAGCAGCATTCACATTGCAACGTCAATGAACAAATGGCAAGCAACCTTTTGCTGACTGTCTAATATAATTTGGCTTTGGAATAACTCAACTTAGTTCCGGGGGAAAAAAGAAGAAGTGGCCCATCAAGATGCCAGAGCGTCAAGTTAGGAAAACAAAATGTTTACTTGCAGATCAGGGCCACACAGGTCCAGGAAAAATAGAGGCCAAAAGGGATAAGCCGGAAAGCAACACGGAACCCAAATTAATACAATAATTGAAGCCAATTTAGTGTAATTTTCTTCAATTTCATTGTTGTTGGTTTTTGCTGGCTGTCTAGCCATTGACTTGGCCAACTATTATCGCATTTGTTTGCCATTTGGCAAGAACCCTTCTCCGTTTTGCCCCTAATCCACATTGAAGTTAACGTTTCTTTTTTTGTCTTTTGTATTTTGTATTTTGTTTTCCCCCTGTGGCTATGTCTAGTCTATCTACCTTTATACTTTTGTTATCCATTTCACAGTGACCGGCAGTAGTGACCACACCCCGAACTGAGCCAAGTTTGATTAGTTTGGGTCACATGCTGGTTAAGCTAATTAAATTAAAAGCCCGACAAGTTGCGACTGTTTTATTTTGTTGATCTGGTGAAAGTGTGGCTTACCTTTCACTAGTTTCAGAGCTCTCCTCTTCTCTTGCATTAACAGATTAGCCATCTGCCCAGTCGCCAGTTGCCAGTTGCCAGTTTGCCCCGCCTGGCTGGAGTTTAAAGTTTTCCTCAACTTGTTGACCGGGCCATGAAAATCAAACATCAAATTTATGGCCTAAGTTATGGGCCTGCAAGTCGTTAACAGTTCTACGTTTTGTTTATAACTATGAAAGAAAAAACCAAAGCCAGCCACGAGTGGGGAGTTTACAGTGTAAAAGGGGGCTTGCCTAAAGTCCGATCATAAAATTTAAATAAAAGTTTAACCACGAGATTCGGTTTCGCTTTAAGGCTCTTCGATGGAAAAAAAAATAGAGATGTTTTATGAAAACCCTTTTGGTTGTAAATAAAGCAAAGGAGTTGACTTTGTTGGGCGTGGAAAAAATGTCGTTTAATTAAAACGCAGGACACATAAGCTGGGCCTGCCCTGCAGCATTTCCATGTTTTTTCGGTTTTCGGTTGGAATTAAAAACCCCTTGTTGATGAAAAATCACCAAAAAAGCTACAAATCTCCTGATTATTTTATATACTATATAGATATATATTGTCGGCTTAACTTTTTGCCTTTTTAGCTTGTTTGGCTATGTTCGCTTATCCGTTGTCGTTGCTGTTGTAAATTGTAATTTGAAAAACATCACCGCAAACTGTCAAAATGCTCTGACATTTACAAATTATTTTGCTGGCAGCGCGAACTGGTCTGAGTAGAGACCAGCCACCGTTGCACCACCTTGTGGCACCACCACTCTGCACCACATCAACGGCGACGACGACCGATTTGACGCTTTGAAATGCGAAATGGAAGCGGTCGCCGTTAATTTGCGTCAACGGGCTAATAAAGTTTTGGCATTTGTGTGCTTAGCTCTTTTTTTCCCTCACAGTTTTTCTCATTTTCCTCCTTTTTTTCGATTTGTTTTTCATTTTGATTTTGGCATTTGGCAAACACGACAAAGTTGCTCTAGCTATATCTGTTTCTATATGATTGGCTGTGTCGGCACATCGTACACAAGGAAGCAAAACTAAGATTGTTTTTCATGAATGATTAAATAAAGAAAAGTGATAACTATGGGTATGATTGTAGATTAAATTAAAGAAAGAAATAGTTTATAGATCAATTTTTTAGCCTTAAGAATCTCTGATTTCCTAGCACTTTTCTCTCAGTGAACTTTTCTTTTTGCTTGCCTGCCAATTTGCCCATGCAAATGATATGAGACGTAGTGAGCTGGCTCGTCGAATGACTAACCCAAGCTGACATTTCAATAGCAACAACAAACATCGAGCCAAAGAGCCGAACTTCCGTTCTGCTGGCCATATCTACCGGCTATATGGGTATATATACCCACTCCTTTCTAGTCGCTGTTAATTGCATTTGATTGAGCACCTGAGCTGCAACAGAGTATCAATGAACTCGAGAGTGTTTTTGTTGTTGGTTGTTTTTTTGTTCCCAGCACCGCGGGCTATGCAACCGAATAAGTGAGGAGGATCCTCGTCGTACAGTGCAAGGTGCAAATTCCCAAGCCCAGATTGCTGCAGCATCGAAGGTAGTAGTACCTGTAACCAGTATCTCTTAGCTCACCTGCCTCTTTAGTTTTCAAGTCCCCTCCTCTCTCTCTCTCTCTCCCTTTCTCTATCACCTGGAAAAATGGCTTTATGGTCTGTGCCCCGAGGCTGCGTGTCTAGGAGTGGCCGCAGCCTAATAGCTGAGGAATATCATCGGTGGAGAGGGGAAGCCACCGAGAACCTAGAACTGAGAACTGAGAACTGAGAACCTAGAACCCAGACCAAAAACCCGGCAGGGGGAAAAATGAATTATGATTTGACGGTAGGCATTTAATGGATGGCCATGGATCTTTGACTTCGACTTTGACTCCACAACGAAAAGAATTCTCGTTTGGCGCCAACATATATTGACAGCTGCTGCCCGTGGTTAGGGTATCTTTGTATCTTCTTATCTTCCTTTTATATTATATCTCTCTTCTCTTCTTTTTTTATTTTTTGGTGTTTGAAGTTATTTCGGCGGACAGGTGAATGCTATTTAGTTAGAATGCCAAGCGGATCGTATCGGTCGCTCTTTGTCTTCTAATTGAATATCCATTGGCGGGTTAGGACTGCTTAAAAGGTGCCATTGAAAAGCATTCCAAATTGGAGCATGACAAGTTTTTGGTTCGATTGATGGATTGCCATGGCTCTGCGGTTGACGACTCTCCATACTGATGGTTGATGGATAGTGAAAGGATAGTTAGGGATCGCTTGGGAAAGGGCATCTTCGACCTACTTGAGCCGCGCATATCTTGCGGTTTTGATCTTTCGGCAGTGGGAAAGGGTTACTTTCAAATATTCACTTTGAGTACTTTGAGATTTAAAGCGAAGATTCAGTTTTAATTAGTAATTTATAAAGAAATAGACTTATGATATTACATTTAGTATCTATTACTTCTAATGCTAGCATACTTGGTATCATTGGTATCATGAAAAGAGTATCTTTTTTCAACCTTTTTCATTCGAGGGAGTATCTTAACTTATCTTCCGTTAAAGATTATATATCCTCCTCGCCATATCAACTGCTTAAGGTATAATCTCCTTCTCTCTTCTGCAACCTAAACTGTATCTTGACTCACTCAGCCCGCAGTCCAATTAGCCCGGTTTACAGCCGAAAGGGGCATCCTTCGTTTGTGGCAGCCTCCTTAGAGCGAAACTCCGGCTGAGACAGAGACTTGTGCCACTTGCAAGTGCCCAGACAACCCACACAATTGTGTGTATGTGTGTGAGATGGGCGTTCAAAAACCGAGTTTGGGCCAACTAGGGGTAACCGCAACGGAAACTATATTGCTGGAAAACAACCGCCCACCGGCAAACACAACTTTGGCCAGAGAAAACAATGGCAATGCATAAATTTCCCGAACAACAGCCCAAACACGGTAACATCTTTTTGGCCAAGATAGAAGATCATGATGGTTGCGGTGCGGGGGTAAAAACTCATTAGTAACAGCGCCTACGAAACATGAATGCAATAATATTCAACAGAAATTACGAGCCTAATAACATAAATTTATAAAGAATGAGGCAAAAAAAAAGTGTGGTAGAAGTAACCTTTATGCAGTTTTCTGTATCTATGAGATATACGCACTGCGTAAAAGTTCATTATAATAAAGAATGCGACGCGGCACCGAAAAGGAGTTGGCCAAACCCATCGCTAACCGCGCTTATCATAAATTATTACCCAGAAATATGCGTGGAGCCAATGTCATAAACATAAACTAGGCGAATTAATTGAGACAGAGACAGGGAAAAACAGAGAGAGAGAGAGAGAGAGAGAGATGGCTGCAGGCAGATAGCAATAGAGCGGCTCATAAAGCCCGGAAATTATGCGTTTTTAAGTCATGACCCATCCATATACATAGTATTATTGCACCTGCCTCCATAGACGGTGACTCCACTCCGAACCGGACCACATAGAGACCATCGGAGCATTAGAACGGCATTTGGCCAAAGTGCCAAATACTACCTGAGATGGTTACAGTTGGGGTTAAAATAATAGTGCCCTTTGAGCTGGAAATATAAAAAAAAAAACT